CGACAGTCAGACGACCACGCAAGAGGCGAGGGGGAGCCGCCATCCGAGGCTCTGAAAGAGAAGAAGGGTAGTGCAGCCCCTCAGCGGGAGCAGCAGGAAGTGCAGGAAGGGATCGCTGCAAAAACAAAAGGTGCGCTACGGGTGTGTGGGACGTGGAAGGAGTATAGGGATGCAAAGAGTGGCCGCCTCTACTACGTCAACACGGAGACCAAGCAACGTACATGGAAGATCAAGGAGACGCCCTTTGCAAACGAGTGATTGATGGCATGCTTGTATATGAGGCCGACGGGGCATCATGCGGCCTACGCTGACGCTCTTGTTTTGGTCACAGTTCCTAGTAATATAAGGGAGCGGAGAGAAAACAACGAAGAGACGGTGTGTGACTTTTGCCTTATTATTATCGTTGTTATTTTACCTCTGTTCCTCATTGGGGGTGCATCGTTTCTTCGGTTGCACCAAAACAGCCACCACGTTGGGGTTTTGGCTTGAGGAAGCGGCGCGCAAAGGAGCGAGCATAAATTGGCGATGCACACCTGCAGCTCCTGGAGCTGTACGTCCGTTGCAGAGGTTTGCTTCGCCTTGCTGTAACTGTGATGCCGACCCTTCACCCTCAAGTGCGTGGGTGCGTCTCCGTCAACATGCATTTTTCTTCATTTTCTCCTCTGCTCCACCGCAAAGCAAAAAAAGCTAGGCGTCGTCCAATCTATTCACAACAACAACCAATAATGACTACGTGCCGTCTGCTGTGCGCCCTGTTGGTGCTCGCCCTGTGCTGCTGCCCGTCCGTGTGCGTGACAGCGAATGGTGAAGGAGAATCCAGTTCCACAACGACAACCACGACGACAAAGCCGCCAACTACGACTACAACCACGACGACTACAACCACGACGACAAAGCCGCCAACGACGACTACTACTACGACAGAGGCACCAACTATTACGACGACAGAGGCACCAACTACGACGACCACCCGCGAACCGTCAAGTATTCGCAGAATTGAAGGCAGCCTCGGCAGCTCTGCGTGGGTGTGTGCCCCGCTTGTGCTTGCCGTATCCGCGCTGGCGTACACCACTCTGGGCTGAGAAGGTGTGCGTGGGCTGTGCGTGCCAGCACTCAAAGCCACTGGGACATGTGTACGTCTCTTGTGGTCCGATGTATAAAGTAAGAGTAATTGTGATGATCGTTTTTTGCTTTGTTTGCTTCCGCTGCCCTGCTGTGTGCTCCGCGTTGCTTCCCACCTCCGTCACGTTGCAAGCATCGCGGGCACACTCATATGCATGCGTACTGAACCTTTGGGCGTTTTTTTCCTTTTAAAAAGTCTTTTCTTTTTTTATTATTGCAACCTTTTTTTTTTCAGGGCGTTGTGCTTTTTTTGCTCTTGTGCTAGTTCCGTCTGCGTCGTGGTGTGTGTGCGCTGCTGCTTCTGCTGGGCTGCTGCCGTTTGTTATTGTGCGTTGGCTGTGTGTGGTGTAGCGGCCGCTTTTCTCTTTGTTCTCTCCCATGCTCTTGCAGGTTGACTTCACAGTGTCGGGCAACTCCACCGTTCGTGATGATGCTGGCCGTGTGTGCTGCGGCCTGTTGACGCTCGCGCTGATGTGCTGCTGCTCGCGTGTTTGTGCGACGGAGTATTTGGTGCTGGTGTAGGCATCGTGGGGATGTGGCGTTCCAACGTGACGCTGCTGTGTTGCCGGCGGACGTGCATGTGGCCGGTGCGTTTGGAGGCTTATGGCGATGCGTACCCATCTGGGGAGGAGGATGTTTGCTGGTGCGACGGCATTTGATGCTGGCATGATGGAGGCTGCGCTGTTTCCGCTTCATGCTATTTCTGTTGATCGTCGGTGCCGGCTTCTCTCCGCCACCGTTCATTCGTTGTGTATGCGTTGGAGGCTGTTTTGTGGGGCACACCCGCTTTTTGCGTTGCTGTCACACCAGCAGCGTCGCAGCAGCGTCTGTTTGTGGAGCTCTTCTGTGTTTCTTTTGTGGGCTCGTTGTGTGGCCCCTGCCCGTGGTGGATTGTGGGGGGCAAGTGGTGCCGTTGGCGGCCGAGGGAAGGAGAGGACGGCGAAAGCAATGAACAAACGCCTATTCTTTTTTTGTCACTCGCGGCGTGGTTGTTGGTCCGTTGTTTACTTCTTGCTGCTTTGTGCGAGCAGAACAAAATAAAATAAATATTTGTGCGGCGTGTCGATCTCTTTGCCGCGCGCACTATCCTCCGCGACGGGCGGCATGACGGGCGACCGCAGCCGGCGCCTGGCGCACCGCTGGACGGGGATCCGTTGCAAGGCTTTAAGGCGGAGGCGCAGCAGCGTGGCTTGGGATTGTCGTATGGAGACGAATAGGCGGCCACAACCGAGTCGCAGCCGCTCGTGAAGGGGAATCCCTCTCCTGCAGTTGCTGCTGCTGCAACAAAGGCAGCGGAGGCATGCTCAGCGACGCCAGCAGAGGGTGGTGGCGTGTTGTGCGGCAACTGGGAGGAGCCGCGCCAGCGAGAGGCGGGGAGGACATACGACAGTCAGACGGCCACGCAAGAGGCGAGGGGGAAGCCGCCATCCGAGGCTCTTGAAGAGAAGAAGGGTGGTGCAGCCCCTCAGCGGGAGCAGCAGGAAGTGCAGGAAGGGATCGCTGCAAAAACAAAAGGTGCGCTACGGGTGTGGGACGTGGAAGGAGTATAGGGATGCAAAGAGTGGCCGCCTCTACTACGTCAACACGGAGACCAAGCAACGTACATGGAAGATCAAGGAGACGCCCTTTGCAAACGAGTGATTGATGGCATGCTTGTATATGAGGCCGACGGGGCATCACGCGGCCTACGCTGACGCTCTTGTTTTGGTCACAGTTCCTAGTAATATAAGGGAGCGGAGAGAAAACAACGAAGAGACGGTGTGTGACTTTTGCCTTATTATTATCGTTGTTATTTTACCTCTGTTCCTCATTGGGGGTGCATCGTTTCTTCGGTTGCACCAAAACAGCCACCACGTTGGGGTTTTGGCTTGAGGAAGCGGCGCGCAAAGGAGCGAGCATAAATTGGCGATGCACACCTGCAGCTCCTGGAGCTGTACGTCCGTTGCAGAGGTTTGCTTCGCCTTGCTGTAACTGTGATGCCGACCCTTCACCCTCAAGTGCGTGGGTGCGTCTCCGTCAACATGCATTTTTCTTCATTTTCTCTTCTGTTCCACCGCAAAGCAAAAAAGGCTAGGCGTCGTCCAATCTATTCACAGCAACAACCAATAATGACTACGTGCCGTCTGCTGTGCGCCCTGTTGGTGCTCGCCCTGTGCTGCTGCTTATCCGTGTGCGTGACAGCGAATGGTGATGATTCCGAGACCACAACGACAACCACGACGACAAAGCCGCCAACGACGACTACAACCACGACGACAAAGCCACCAACCACGACTACAACCACGACGACAAAGCCACCGACGACGACTACAACCACGACGACAAAGCCGCCAACGACGACTACAACTACGACAGAGGCACCAACTATTACGACGACAGAGGCACCA